GCAGGATCTGGCGAAGCGGAAAACGAAGCAAAGCAGTCAGAAAGCCCTTCGGGACACTCCCAGCCTCGTCATCCCGTGGGTACCTCAGCTTGCAGGGCTAGGAAATTCTGCGGGATTTTGTGTGCGGCGAGCCGCTATGAACATCGGAGCCATGGACGGTTGGCCGTTCCCGAGCGACTTCCGCGACCCGAACGAGGCATGGGATGTTCAGGGCAAGCTCGTGTTCTTCGCACTCTACACGGGCTTCTGGGCATGCATGGTGCTGGCGGTGTTCCTCTACACGCGGCTTCGCAGCCACTGCAGCTGCCGCAGACGAGTGCGTTCGCCAGTGAAGCGGCAAAGCAGCGGCTTCGCAGATGTTTCGAAGATGTCGGAAGCCTTCGGGGAGATGCCGCCCTTCCCAGAAAGCAAGGCTCGACAAAAGCAAGGGGGCACGCTTTTTTCGGGTCACCGGCTCAATTTGCAAAAGGGCTGCGTGCATTGACGTCCAGGTCCACGAGCTGTTCTTGGAACAGGCGAAGCTGACGCCGACGGCGACGGCCCTGGTGTTGCCCCACGAGGCAAAGACTGTGGTCACGTACCAGGAGTGTGCACATGTTTGGATTTGCTTTGAAGCTTTCCGTATCGCTTCTCGCTCCAGTCGTTTGGCTCGCGAGAGCCTCGGGCAGAATCGGCATGCCTGCTCGGCGAGGAGCTGGCAGAAGCCGTGAGGCAGTTGGCCGTGGTGCTCGAACAGCTAGGCGCGCAAAGGACAGTCAAGCGGCGGCGGGGCAAGTCTGTTGCATGAGACGACTGAGCCCTGCGAGGCGCCAATGGCGAGATCGTGGCTTTATCCTTGCCGCGCAGCAGCGCACAGGTGGTGTCGATCCTCGGCGCTTTGCTGGCGGGTGCCGGCTACCTGCCCATGGACGACACGGGGCCAGAGGTGCGAGAGGGCCGGAGAGACGTGCATGAACATGCATGATGCAGGGATGGGTGGGCCGTGGCCTTTCAAGTGATGACGCGTGCTGAGAGATCTGGGCAGGCAAGGAAGAGGCTCGTTCTGGAGGACAGCCGCGCGAAAGTGTTGATCTCCGACGCCAACTCCCAGGCGCGTGCCTTCGCGCTGCCTCGTCGTTCGACAGACGATGTGATCACACTGATACTTGTAGTGGCTAGTAGCCAGTTGCCGTGTGCAGGAGTGCAAGCAGCTCGC